AAAAAACTGGGAAGGGGGGGGAAAGAGCTCTTGAACATCATTCAGCTCTGACTTTGATTTCTTTGAGTCTGAGGGTGAAATATTTGAGGAGACTTGAGTTCTCCACGAGGTCGGCCTCATTAACACAGGTGTGTCCTCACCTCTGTGGGAGACTGCTCATTAAAAACACACTCTGCACCCACAACACGCCAAACTCAATTCAGAAATCTGTCACTTAACCCTGCTGTTGACAGAAAAAAAAACAAAAAAAAAAAAACCCATTCACTTAATCAGAAATTACCCTGAATGCCAAGGCCAAGTTTACACCCACGTTTCTACGACTCTCACACGACCCAGATTTAAACGTTAAAATAAATAAAAATAACCTAAATTTAAAAAGCAGTCCAAGTATTTTTGATGAGTTTACGCCGAATTAAAGAAGGACATCCGCTAGTTCTAAAGGTTGTATTAAATCGATTCAACATTACTTTAATATCGCAGATAAACGCGCGACATTATTAAAAAGATCATTTATCGATGACGTTTTGCAAGGAGTTCTTGTCGTACACTGCTCTACACGTACAGAAGCCACCGGGAATGTGAATTTATTAAATTTCGGATAATTTAAGCAATAACGTTTCTTCTACCTTTCGCTTCAGGCTTACTTTGAGTGCATAATGGTGAACTTTATCAGCTTTTAAGAGACTCAAGTTCCCCAATGCCTCACCTTGCTAACGAAACGCTACCAAGCGGGCAATAGCGGCGCCGTGAAACTTACAAATCTGATAATTTACAGAGAATATTTGTGCTATCTGGGTTAAAAATCTCTGCCGAATTGGAGAGTGTGTCCAAAATTATCAAAAATCTGCATTTGCAGTCAGGTGCGACGTTTTTTCTCGCATAGAAAAGCCAAAGATATAAAATGCCTGAATTTTAAATGGTAGCCCGTGCATTCCAGGACAGAAGACGGGGCGATGAGGCTTTAAACCTGGAATAGTGAGTGAAAACTGGATGAAAACTTTACTCGGAGAAGAAATATTGGATATTCCAGTATCCCTGTCGTGTGCGGACTCTTTTATTATGTTACAAAGTTTTGTCGGAGGCGCACAGCTGAGGAGGAAGCTTCCAGATGAATGAATGGACCCCGGTACTCACCTATGGACACAAGCTTTATGTTCTCCTTTTCCAGGAACTCAAGAGCCACCGACACGTTTTCCAGCTTCATCTGCCTGAAGGTGGGCCTCGGGTGGTACTTTCTGTACATCTTCTTGTGACTGAGGACCTCCAGCAGGGCGATGAGCCTCAAGCCGTCGCCCAGGTCCAGCTGCAGATCCACGATCCGCTTGTTGACGCACTTCAGGTGCTCGTTGATCCAGCGGGTAAAGGTGTTCTGCTGGATCTTCTTCCACGGAGCGTCCTCCGCCAGGTCCTTCTCTGTGGCCGGCATCTTTGAGAAGTTTCCTCGCTGACTGTGTGTAAGGCTTCTGGCACGGAGATGGGTTAGAAATTACAGAAAGTTAACCGGTAAGCCTGCTGTGTTGCCGCGTTGTTTCCTCGGAGCTGCTGCAGCTCGGTCTGAACTTTCTCCGCACTAATGCCGCTGCGTTCAGGTGCTGCTCGGATTAATCAGCTTCTTCTTCTTCTTCGCGTTTGTCTGAGTTGCTGGTCACCGTCAGCGACGTTTTACCGCCTCCCAACGGCATTGAAGTCCATTAAAGTCTATTTATTTTCCGCACCTTGGACACAGATGCAGACACTACACACAGAGTAGTTATAGATTCGCATGGTTTGAATATAAATACATGTAAAAACATAATTTCATATTTCTTCTATGAAATTATGTCAATAACCTTTGTGTCAATGAGTTTCACCTCACATTCTATAAATTTAGTTATTTATTTTGCATAAACCTTCATTCATTTGAGTTTCAGGCCCTCACACATCCATTTGGGTGGGTTGAAATTCGAGGCTTTATTTTTTCCAGCATTTTTAAGCCCTCTTACCTTTTTATTACTGTGGTCTGGCAGGGTTACATGTGAGAGGATGGACCTTCATAACACTCAAAGCATTTCCCATTTATTTGTTCATTGTGGAGAAATTGTAGCAAAGAAGATTTCCAGCATATTAAATATTTTTTTGGAGTGGAGAGCAGAGGGTTTGGTCCTGCTTATTCCTTCAGTTTATTGCTAGTGAGTGTAAGTGCCTTACACCTGAACTCTGTCCAGCAGAGGGCAATTCCACTGGTTATTTCCTTTGTGGAAACTGCCCTTCATTTTTTTATAGTAGCTCAGGCGCTACTATTACTGAGTACTACACAATGCTTTGTGTATATCATTCTTTATGAGAGTGAAACAGGAGGATGGAGAGTACTCTGATCAGCCAATAAGGATGCAGCGTTCACTGGTTTAATAGTTAGTACCAATCCTCGTTCGTCAGGTCTTCATTTCAAAAGGCTAAGCTATTTATGATGAAAACCCTCGGACAGAGGCTTCATAGCAGGACTTCACTAACAGATAAGTGATGTCACTGCTGCTACGTCCATCTTTTATTTACAGTCTGTGTCTGAAAGCCATAAAGCTAAGACTAAGATTTATCTAAGTTTATGACTTTGGGGTAAGTTTATAAAAACACTGATTTCAGTTGGTTTAAGCTCCTTTAGACTCTGAGAATTTCCCAGCTGTTTTTTCCACATTTATTTCTTTTTGACTTATCTCTGCTTTGAAGCACATCTACACGCCCTTGTCTGTGCTCTGTAAATACTGCAGTGATTATCCCATGTGATGCTGATTGATGATCCACTTTATTAGCACCAGATGTGACCACATGTGTCCAGTGACCGTTTGGCCTCCCCCACTTTATAAGAAGCTTATTGTCATGAAACACTCCCTCTGCCCATGTCCCAGTATTTTAAGTTTTACCTGAATGAAATCGTGTCTTACTTTTCTTTTCTTCTGACTCAGAATCAGACAGACAGAAATATGAGTACTTTTTATTCTGTCTGCATGTTGAAACCATCTCATAAAAGGTGACATCATGCTCCGGATAGATGATTGATGCGTGTTTGTTGTGTGACGACATTCAGCTTATATCAAACACACACACTCATATGCAAGTCCAGACCTGTGTTGTCTAATTGTGCAACCTTTGCTTCTCTTCATTATTTCATGTCTGCATTACATCACCTACAGCTCACTCTGCCTTAAAGGGACAGTTCACCTCAAACTCACTTGACCTGCAGTGTTTTTTAGATGAAGATTGTTCTGGAAAGATCTCAGGCTTCTCTTGATATGGAGAAACCTGGGAGAGAAGTAAACTGCACTCGGTTTGAGGTGCTCCAAGTAGCAAAACACAAAATCAAGAGACTTCTTAGAAAAGTGTCCATAAATGTTGGTGTGAGCAGGTTCCACCCACGGAGGAAGGCTTACAGCTCAGAACATGATGTTTGGATTTTATCAGATGGATGATTTCTTCTGCAGAGCAAAAATAAAGTGATTTATTTTTCTTATAAGGAGTTGGCGTGCCATAGTTCCAGGGTTTTCAAGTGTTTTGTTTTTTGGTTCTTTTTGTTCCTGTTTTGACTTTACAGTTGTTCTACTGATAGGTTTCAGTTCTTGTCTTGATTTCTGTATTATTCTAGTTTCCCTAGTGTTATCTTTCAGTAATGTCCTGGCTTACTTTGAAGGTTAGTGTCTCCTCCTGTTTTTACTTCCTGCCCCTTTTCCTCCTCTGTGATTGGCTGCTCCTCTCTGATTCTGTCCTCTTGGGTCAGTTGGTCTTCTGTGTACAGTATAAACTGCATCAGCTCTTGCTTTTTCAGGTCCTTTTGTTGTACCAATGGTTATTTTCCATGTGTTATCTGCTTGCAGTGCTGGCTTTGGCCCATTGTGCCCTTTTGGACTTCTGTTTCCACCAATAAAGTTTATCATTTCTTTTGCGGCCAGCTGTTGTCTCATGCATCCTGGTCCTCATATCACACCTCATTATAGGGTTTTAGGATTTTATGGAAACACAAAGAAGAGTGAAAAAAAAATTACATCTGATCGCAGAACTTTAATTTTCATTTCAAACATCTTAATACCTAAAATAAAATAAAAAAAGGGGGGGGGGGGGGTCTGAACATGGGAATTATGTGATGTGTTCACTTTCAAGAGGACAAAATATTGTTATTTTACGTTTTTGCTCTGAGTTTTCATCACCCTGATAAACAACCATACACAGAGGAACATGAACATATAGCACGTGAAAACATATATACATCAACCAATAATTTATTTTTAGGCATCTTTCTTGGTTGTCGTCATAGAAAAGCTGTATATAATAACACACATAAACAAACAAAAAGAAAACATGACTATGATATGATGTTTATTCTTTTTCTCTGAAGATTCAACCAGAGATACTTGACTGCAATTCTGTAACTTTAATGAAACAAAAGTAAAAATAATAAATTATGGGTTTGTAGCAGCACACGTTTGGATTTTAGGTGCTGATATTTCAAGATTTTTCTTAAGGATAAAGCAACTTTAACAACTTTGAGATAATTTTGTCTTTAAAACTTTACTCTAACATTAGTTTCCCTTAAAAAAAGCCACTTCATTAATCCTGTATCGATCAAACTACATATTTTATAAACATTTTCTTGTACTTGGGAGTTGTTTGTGCACTACAAAATCATTCAAATTCACAAATCAGTTTAATATAATGCTCCAATCTAGAGATTTTTCAGAAATGAAGGCCTTCATACTGATCTTTACCTTTCTTCTTGCAGTGTTTTAATCTAGTAAAAATTGATTAAAGAGAATTATGTTTTCTTTAACACAACAGTCTTCAAGAATCTGGAAACATTAATATTTAAAGTGTCTTATTTGCATTTAATTCAGAACCACAAAGTGCACACCATCGCTACACGATGCAGTTTTAAATCTTGTGAGCAGTTACAGTAAAAATCCCTTTGTAACGTCCTTCCTGCTCCAAAATGAGTTCATCTCTCAGTGTTTGTGAATAAAGACACAGGAAGCAGGTTTGGTGGGTCAGCTTGCTACAACTTTAATCCAAACATCGCTCTGCATATTCAATACATCCTCATCATATCCTCTACATAGCTCCCTCTCATATCTCTAAACAGTTTTAACAAAATAAGTCTAGTAGCACATCAGTCGATAACATTTTATCTTACAATTCTCTCTCTGTTCTGTAGTGTTTTTTCTCTTTACACATCAGGAGTATTTGTTCATTGTCTTATTTTAGTTCTTTTTAAACACGGAGACAAAACGGAGTACACGAACGATGACGAACGCTGCTCAAGAGTCCAGACTGTGAACCCACACACACACATCCCTGTCTACCAACACACACACTTTGAAATGATTCAATGTCTCTCAAAATATTTCATCAGAGGTCTGACGTCTTGTGTGTCATTAAAAAAATGAATAGATTTTGATATTTGGCCCGTTAAACATTTTTTACAAATTTTCTTGTTCCTCCTTTTAAACTTTGCTCTTCGGGTGTTGTATAGTCGGTTAATCTGAATTCTGGGAAATTCTCATACATTTAAAGAGCCGTGATTAAGCTGAAAGCCCTGGAAAAAGCAACCTCTGACTGTCAAACCAAGTGTGTGTGTGTGTATATATATCAGGGGAGGTGTGTGTGTGTGTGTGTGTGTGTCTGCACACATACACAAAGTGTGGTGTTAGTTACATCAGAGGCACTTTGACCCCTTTTCTCTGTGCCCCCAACATGGAGAAAGAAAAAAGTAAACCCAACACAAAATAAATCAGATTTTATTTCAATAATTTGGCTTCAAGTTTCAACTCAGACCCCAGAATTTCCCCAAACAGAAACAAAGAAACAAATGAAAATAACCCCAGAGAAAACGCCAAGTTAGACATCCAACATGGCCGACTGAAAGCAGAACAGGGCAGAGCTTCCTGAAATTGCTTCAGCGCGAGAGCTTCCCAGCAGCCTCGGGTTAATCACGATGACATGGTGCACTTCGTCATCATTTGTGCTTCGTTTGTGCTCTTAGAGCCAGGATCCCCCCGAGTCTATAAACTCAGACCTGCTCAAGCCCGATGTGATGCACAGTCACCTGAACTCACATTTAAGGCAGAACACCTGAAGTCACTGAACGAACGTCTATCTGACCAAAAACAGATCTTAAAGCCCAAAGTATTCGAATTACTCTAACTCTAGTGAAACTGAGATGTTAGCAGGAAACCAGAGAACGCACCAAACTCTCCTGATCTGTTTCACAGGGGGCGCTCTTAGGACAGACTGAATGGGTCCCAACGGAGTACAACACAGTTCATTTTAGTGGTGTAAACATGTTTCTTCTGGACAAATTGTCAACATATCCTTGATAGAAAAGCTGGAAACAGCTAAATAAATAACTTTCTGTTTTTATCATTTTAATTGTAGTAACTGGAGCAATCGGTGGAGCTGAGGGATGTCGCAGCACCGTGGGCCACTTTACTGGCGCGCCCATTCAAGTACTACAACCTTGCCCTAAAATAAACCTCCGCTGTGGTTTAACTACACTTCTAATCTTTAGTTACTGTTTGGAAACAGCTGCTATCAAGGAAGTGCCTTAAATTGTTGTTTCATCTGTTTTGGACATTTTATCAGAGAAAACTAAAATGAAAAGTGTGGTTATTTTGTGTCCTGAAGGAGATTCAAAAAGTATTTATTAGTATAAATCGAAGATGGGTACATCCCCTGGGTGAATTACAGCTGGCGTCTGTAAACTGGGATGAAGAAAAAGTGGCTCCTCCTCTAGATCTGCTCTAACACAACGAGCTGGTTTGAAGAATTTAGCAAGTAAATTTAAGCTGAATGTGGAGCTGTGTAAAAGAAAAGCCATCTCTTCTTCAGAAACTCTGTCCTCAGAGGTAAAGGTGAAACAGACAGATTTACCTGTCAGTGACGCTCGAAGCTGCTGGAAAGCGCTGGGTTAGCATTAAGCAGGTTTTTGTGTGTATGTGGAAGCTCCACCTGCTGGAGAACGTTTTGTTACCTGGAAATCAGCAGAGAGACGAAAAAAAAAAATGGGGAAAGGGGGGGGGAAGAAAAAAAAAAAAAAAGGAGCCCCCCACCATAGCTGAGAGAGCGGAGAATAAAGACAACAAAACTCCCCGCCGCAGGAAAAACAACAACAACAAAAACCCAAAACAAAATAATCCAAGAAGCTTCTGAGTCCTCTGTAGAAACCACAACCTTTATATCCCTCTACAATTATGTACAATTAGACTTTATACAAGTAAAGCAGTGACGCTCTCCTCACGGCGCTCCGTGTGTGTGTTCGCTTGTGTTTTGTGTCCTAGGTGGAGCTGCTCTTGGAGAGGTTGGGGTAGAGGACGGCGGCCGTCACGGCGACCATCACTGCGACGACCGGCATCCAGGGGCTCCAGCCGCTCTGTTGGAGAGAGATGAACGAAAAAACACACACGAGACAGAAACAGACAAAGAAACACGTGAATAAATAAAGTTAGTTTGAACATTACGAGTAAAAGTGGACAGAGGCGGAAGGAGAGCTTTTAAAGGAAGAGGAGAAAGAAGATGAAGAGGCAAAGACAAAAGAAGAGAAGCCACTTCAGTCCAAAAGATGATATTTCATTTCTTTTTCTCGTGCAAAAATTCATCTGATTGAGGGAAAAAAAAGGTTATTTAACGAGAACAACGTAAATGAATCAGTCAAACTGCATGTAAGTGACAAAAATGTCCACCTGAGGCTGGCTCCAATTAATCTCCACATACTGTAAAAATGTAACTTTTATAGCGCCCGCTGCAAAAACATAGGTTTGACCTCTGATAGTTTGCTGCTTCTGACAACTATACAGGATTTTTCAAATAACTGAGGCTGAGATTTTCAAGGCTGTGGCTGCTTTGACCAACAGCGCAGAAACAGGTGGCTGAACTGGACCTCTCAAATACATTTATGCCGTTTCTTAGCTTTTAACATTATTTTTGGCTTTTTTTTGCCTTTATTTGATTGGACAGGGAAGATTTTTGACACACAAGTGGGAAGAGAGCAAACGGCCTTCAAACCCAGGCTGCTCAAAAGGGTCAGCTAAACTTCTTCCCCTTCAGAATATTTGTAATGTCATGATCTGAATAATATGGCTAATCAAATTCAGTATTTTATCAGTGGATTGCCCACAGAACAATGGGTGACATCACGATGGGTGCGTCCATCTTTTATTTGCAGTCTGTGGAATCAAAACTAGTGTAAACATGTACACTCATTTATTCATGTAGTTCCAAGAAAACTAAAACCAATTAAAAATATCTTTTTATAGTAAAGTTTGTTTCAAAATAAGAGGTGAAAAATGAAAGGAACCTTTTGTCTAATCAATCTGAAACAATAAAAGTCATATTCACTATAAAACATTGCTAGTTTAAGGGAGAAGCCTTCAGCCTAATTTTGTAGATTTGAATTAAAACAGTGACCTCTGACAGCAGCAGATTTTTTAAAGGAAGCATCACTAGTTTGAGACAGCAGCTCAATGTGAAGACGGGATGCCCGTTGGGACTAAAGCTGCCAGTTCAGCACTGCAAGGTCCTTATAAATGCTGCTCTTTGAACTTGTGGTCAAAGAAAAGCTCTAAGGGGAAAAAAAGGCCTTTTCAACTACAATCAGGTTATTAGGTATCTAGAAAAACGAATAATTTTTACAGTAGCCAAATAACCTTCAGGTATTTCAGGATTCATCCTTTATTTTTGGTGAGAAATAACAAAAGTTTTAACTCAAGCAGGTCAACATCCCAAGTACAATTTCCTCATTGATTACATCCAATAGGGGCTTAACTCAACTTCCCTTTTATGCACCAAATATGTAATTAAGGCCCAAGTGTGTGTTGCTTCAAATTCAAAACAGTTTTTAAATCCCTGCCAAGGACAATCGAGTTTTACTCGAGTTCTCTGCTGGTTTGTGTATGAACGATAAAAGGAAACAAATTTAATCAATATCATCTTTTGGGACTTCAGGACAGGTGGAGAAAACAAGTAAAAAAAAAAAAATTAAATAAAAAACAAAAAAAAACAACAAAAAAACAAAAAGCAGCAAAATAAATTAGGTTACCTGAGCAGAACAACAGAAAAGTTACAGAACATTTTCCCCTCAAAGCAAACAACAACTGGGCATACTGGTCAGACGTTCCCGAATAAACAAACAAGCAGCAAACACAACACAAACACGATGGACGTGATGATGGATGCTTCAGAAATAAAGAAAGTAAGAATGGCTGCAGAAAAAGAGACAATAAAAAAAACAAACCAGTAACAGATGAAAATAACTGAAGTTAAGCAGCAGCTGGATGCAAGAACACAGAAGAAGAAAAAAAATTAATAAATGAAATTAAAAACAAACCCTGCAAAAAGAAACATGAGAGAACAGCAACATGTAATTAAAGAAAGCTAAAATAAAGCACCGAAAACCTAACGGAGAGGAAGAGGAGAGTGAATGAGGCAGATGGAAGGAGAGGGTTAGCCTTTAAGATGCGATGGTCAGAGCACGCCTCTTTAAAGGGGAACAGAGTGCAAATAAACAGAAGGGCGACCTTTAGAAGTTTCCACTGATGAATTACGCTCATCTACATTTCTCACAGACTTTTCTTTGAATTAAAATAAAACTGAAATGTTGTTGAATTCTTCGAGTCGGGGAGAGATAAAGTGACAAATCAAAAGGAGGATCACTGTAATTTATTTAAGATTACTGGGCTGAACATAAAAATTAAAACGCTGTGATTAACTTTTTTCCCTTCATTTCTGTCATTTCGCTTCTTCTTAACTTAAAATTTTAACACACTGCTGACTATGAACGGTCAGGAGTGAGCGGTTCAGCAGTCTGTTTACACAGGAGGCGTTCAGGTGCTGCTTTCAGTGTGGGACAGCCACGTTTTCATATATGATGAAGTAAAGCTGCAGTAAGAAAACGGATGATCTGATATCCTCGTGTCAGTGTTGTTTCCACATCATCATAATAAATATTGTCCCAGGTTCAACATTGCAAGTGACCAGTCACATTGTTGTGACGTCATACTTTTGCAAGCCAAGCCATTCATTCATTTATGGAATTCCAGTGTTGCAAGGACAACATGTATAATGCTTACCGTTTATCAAAGAACCGTATCCTGAAATGCAAAGAATTCAAATTGCTGGATCAGGCGGTGTCTTGCTAGTTAAGTCGATTTTTTTTAAGGCGGTTTTTCCCAAAGTCGCAAAAGTATGATTTCACAACAATGTGATTGGTCACTTGCAATGTTGAACCTGGGACAACATTTATTATGATGATGTGGGAACAACACCGACACGAGGATATCAGATCGTGCTTAAGAAAACAGCCGCAGGTGCATGTGACGTGTGTTTCACACCAGTGCTGTGTACAGCAGCTGGATTGGTAAACACAGAAACTTATTGTTCCTCTAGTCGTGCTCTAGTTACTGCTCCTCACAGTAATTCATTCATTTTAATAAGTTTGACAACTGAACTTTGCTTAGGTTAAAAACCGATCTGTGTAATATTGTGATGAGCCATACTCCTGCAGCACAGCCAATAATACGTCACTCCTTTTTGTGTGAAAATCAGGTAAGCGCACGCTTCCTGGTGCAGCTGTTAGCACGCAATGGAGTCTAAAGACTAGAGCAGAGATCACCGGTCCCACTGTACTGTATACATTTTCCCACCAAAATGAAAGATTTCTTTTTGTTTTGTTTTTAAATGCAAAAAATACATAAATAAAATAATAATTTGGGATTCTTTTTTTTCTCCACTGTGTTTTTTGGGATTTTCAATTTAGGTTGCTGACTGACATTACCAGGATGGTCATGGTTTCTTGCCTGATCATTAAACTATCAAAGTAGGCAAAGCTTTGAAGTAGTACAGTGTGCATAGATGTACAGCGGTGACACAAAATTTGCATCCATCATACACATCTAAACACCCTGGAGGCCTACGGTGCCTTCGATTTTAGCCAGGCTGTTTACATTCCTCTCATCTAGTCAGTGGATTTGGAGACGGGTGGATTATCGGCAGATTGATTTATTTATGCATTTTTTCCAGAAAAATAAAGTCACTACAGCCACATACCTTGTTTCAATTCTCTCAGAAATCATTTGTTTTGATCTTACATGACATACCTTTCTGAGATCACTTTGAGCATGTAAATAGCAAAATAAAATAAATAAATAAATGGCTGTGTCCAACTTGGTGAGTCCTGATTTTGCAGCAGCTTAATTAAAGATCTCAGTGCCATCACAGACTGTATCTAAAAGATGTTTTGTTTTTGTTTGTTTTTTTAAAGTCTATTTTTTCTGCAGTTCTTTGCTTTGTTTCAATCCATGCTCGATCATCATTGTAAGAAAATTACAGTAAAGTTGAATCAGCTTATCTGGACCTTAAACTAACCAGTAACAGTAAATTTCCATAATGACTGAATCTAGTATCATTGCTTCAGTAAAAACCTTTAATGACTCCTTATATGTCAGCCTTATCAAAACCGCTAAGAAGCATTTCATTAAAACACAGCGTTTCTGTGGCTTTCAAACCTCAAAACACACTACACTAAAGATCAGTCAACCACAAGGATGTGTTTCCCCCGCCACAAACACAGTAATATAGTGTACACAGACGGTGGCTGTAGCTTTAAGTCCTCTGCTAATCGGAAGGTTGTGGTTTGATCCCTAGCTTTTATAGTCTGCATTCCAAATAACCTTGGGCAACATACTACCTCAAGTTGCTAAGAGTATGAATGTGTGTGAACGTTAAATAGAGAGCACTTACATAGAAAAACATATATAAAAAAAAAAGGTGCTTGCATGAATGAGGCAAGTTGTGCGAAGCGCTTTGAGTGCTCAGAGTGGAAAAGTGCTATATACCATCTATAGACTGTCGTGATTTTATACATCGGGAAAACCAAACAACCTCTGGCTAAGCAGAAGAGCTACTTCATCAGGCCAGGACTCTACAGTCTATTTATACCTACAGTCCAATGGCCACTCTTTCAATGAGGATGTGCACATCCGGGACAGGGAGGAACGCTGAGGTTTGAGTGGTGGGAAAAGAGGACATTTTTTGGTGATCTAAAAAAAGTGATTGCAGCCACTCCAACCACAGCTGGAGTACCATTCAGAATGGCACTCATGGCCATTGATCAATTAACTGAACTCGCAGCTGGTTGTTAGTCAGTGGTGCTAGTTTTGGTCATTATCCAAATGTACTGTTTATAAGGTTGGGGAAAGCTACAGTTAACAGAGAGTGAAGAAATCCCCCGATTTAGTGAAAAAATATTTCTCACTCTGAAAACACAACGTCCAGATGAACAGATTTAAGGAGTCACCTTGTGTCGAACCTACACGCGTCGAGTGAGGGTTGGTGTGATGGAAAAACTGAGGGGCACTGCAAGCTCACATGTCAGTTACAGAGTAGACACGCCCTGTTTTATAACACCCTTTTGACTCCAATTGTACCATCATTTATAAAATAAACATGGTGTTCCATTTAATAATGTGTTTACTGAGGTAGATCAAGTGAGCTGAAGGGTGATTTCTTCTAGACACCCGGGCATCCCTTTACAGCCAAAGGAGTCTCCCCCTGCTGGTCATTAGAAAGAGTACAGGTTTATTGCACTTCCATACTGTATTTAAAGACCTGGAAGCTAGGTGCCTCTTTTATGTCAAGTCTACAATAAGAAGCCTTGTCTACCCGTTTTTTCCCCTGCTACGATAGGTCAAACACCGCTGCTGTGAAGAGCATGAAGCATATGTACAAGGCTCCCTTTAAATGGAGGGTCTGTGGGTGGAGGGAGCCCATCCCTTTAAAGAGCGTGTTAATGTTAGCTGCAGCAGAGCAGAAGCAGAAGTGAGACTGACTGGCAGACGAACAGGCAGACTGACAGCCATGCAGTTAGTGGTTCTCATATCAGAAGACGAGGGACCAGACGCCGTGATGATGATGATGATGATGGCTAAGATGATCCTTAGTCTTAAATGGAAGTTTAGGAGGTGAAGAGAGCGATCTGGTGATCAGAATTCAGAGTTCAACAGCTGGGTTACCTTTATGTATCATCACCCTGCACCGCAACACATCATCATCCTGAGCTGTTAGCATTCAAATGGTGAAAGATGTAGTTTAGGAATATTTGGATGCTTGCCAGTAATAACCTGCTCCTTACACTTACATTCCCTCCTTATTTAGGTTAATTTGTGACTGAATTTATGACCATTAAAAAAAAAAGTGTGGACATATGGAGAAAAAAAAGGGAATGCACTTCTGGTAGCTTGTTTGGAAGGAGAGACTGACCTACAAATTTTGCCTCATATCAGGTACAGAAAGTGTTCCAACTTTTTGTTTATGAGGGGCTGCCAAACAAAAAACAATTGAATTAAAGTGGGCGGAGCTAAAACAGCAGGATTCACACTTAGGTTCTGCATTAAGGCCCAGTATAAGAAAATCATGAGTCATGCAATGCTTCTCTATTAGACTTAAAGAATTGTAACAATATATTTATGTGTTGGACACGTTTACAGGAGTTTTCACTTTCAACAGCAATGCCTGTAGTTCTTATTTTCAAAAATAATCAGCTCTCACGGCGGAAACCTGTGTTGAGCTCAGAGGGAGATTTCTTTTCAATTTCAGCACGTCAGTTTTCCAGCTGAAACTCATGACCCTGAATTCATCACAGATCAGAACGACCCTTTCGCCTCTGACACCTTCCAGTGATGACAAACAGATAGACGCATCAGAGACAGACAGACAGACAGGACGGCAGAGAGATAGACTGATGTCATGTCGGTGTGTACCTTTCTACCACAACTGGCCGAAACACCAGTAGAGCAGAGCCAGGACAAGGCCCATGAATATGGCTTGGACAGGCTGCAATATGGATGGCTAAAAGGGAGAGGGGTTGGAGGGGGAGAGTGGATAAGAAGAAATCAGCCAGCAAATCAACCAAAACCAACATGGAGGATGGAGCAGCTACAGCGAGGGGGGAGGGAAGAAAGGGAGAGAGGGGGTTTGGGTTTGTATCCAATCAGCCGTTTTCTACAAAGCAGCACCAACATTTCTACACATTCAGCAGCCACATTCACAATCACCACGGAGGAGCAGCCATCCGTCACCAGGCTCTTTTAAAACAGCAACACTTTTCTGCAGCAGGAACAGATCTCCTCCAGCTGCCGTCTGTCAGCTGGTTTCAATCTGATCTTTACAGCACGACGGACACCGGTTCATACAAAGAAGCCTAACAGAAATGCACTGAGTGAAGAGAGGGTAACTCTAGTTTTTTTTATAATCAGGTTCTTATTTGCTCCATTGCTATCAGTGCTAATTAATGCAAACAGTGGTTAATGAGATCTGGGAACACAGTGAAATGAGCTACAAATACTTTTGTCTAGAAAATCTTTTGTAACCCTGATGGACATTTCCAAAAACACTTTTAGCTCACATCAGTGCCATTCATCTTTCCTTCCAAATAAATAAATCAAATCTGGAGTTTTGTTTTAATCTGCCTAGTTGAATAAAAAATGGTTTCTATCTGGAGATATCTCAAATGAAACTTCACTCATCCTGCATTTTAGTCTCCACAAAAGAATTAAACTGGTCTTGGACAGGCCCCCAATTATGTTACAACCCAGTTTATAAGCATCATTAGATCAATAGTTAACCTAATTTAGGATGGCAAGGTCCAGCAAAAAGTAGTGGAAGACCTTCCAAACCAATCGTCGCATTCCATTATCCACACTGTATCAGCTACAGACCACTAGCAGTTTAGTCCATGCAACGCCCAAAGACGATGCACTGTGAGGATAATGAGAATTGGAGAAGGCCATGAAAGAAAAGTGGGACAGGAGAGAATCAGTTCACTTAACATACAGCAATGGTGGATTTATTTTTTTTATTTTTTTATAATAGATATCAATTGTAGACTTTGTATCAAAAAATACATAAAATAAAAAAACAGAAACAATGAGACTTTCTAGTGTGGCCTTCGTGTTCCCAGATCTCAGATATTGCAACATTATTATTACCAAAAAAACTAAAGAGGCAAAATTGAAGAGAAATTGGCCTTTAGATATATCGTGTTTTAAGAGCTGAGGGAGGAGGAGAGGAAGAAAAGAAGGGGGGTGGGGGTATAGAGTAGGCTGCTCCGCCTCACTGATTTTGTGATTAATGTTTCCAAGAGTTTTTATCCATCAGCTTATTTATCAGAACAGGATATAAACCAGGAGAGACGGTGAGGTCACATGTCACCTTGGCAAGAGGAGTCAGTTTAAAAAAACAAAACAAAAAAACACAACTGCTTTGAATGTGTTCACAGAGCTGCATGAATTCATTTAAAAATCACAATTTAAATGTTATTTTGTTACCTCACCAGTTATTATTTGGCATTATGAGCATTTCTACTTTCAACAAAGATGTTATTGGCCATTAGACAACACTAACGCTGTGTGACATTTCTCACAGGTCAGGATAAAAATGCAGCTTCACCTGCATAAAAAGCAACCTTAAAGCAAAAATAAATTATGGTAAAACTTAAAGCTGAGCAAACATAGATTACAAAAAAACAGTCCAAGCACAAGTCTGTGTTTTTTATCGTGTGGGCACTCACAGAGCTGGACTTGTCCTGCAGCAGCTTGAGGCTGCTCCTGCACTGCTCCAGCTCCTGGTGGATGTTCAGCTTCTCCTGCTCTGTTCTCTCATAACGCTGACGGAGATCAGATAGCTGGGACTGTGTGTCTTCATACTGCAGACAGACACACACACACACACGCCACTGTCATTTCTATGTCCATTTACATAAAGGGTTCACTTCCAGGTAAAGTTAACCTCTTTGGGATATCCCTTTCTCCTTGTGACATCATACAGATCCAAGGATAGAAGAAAAAAAACTGCCAGAAAAGAATAACAGGCCCCTTTAAAACTGATGGAGAATCCACCAAGTGCCACATTTACAAAAGCTCACTAGCTGCTGTTACCAATAACTCAGTCGACAAACACTGGACTTTTTATACAACTATCTGACAAACACTATTGGCCTGCTGAGTTATTATCATTTTGCTAATGCATTTTGGTAATGCCGAGATTTATGTTTTTCCCTCATTTTTTACAACTTTCAATTACCCAAAGCAAACATATAATCAATAAATCACCAACTTGTCAATTAATGTCACTTGATGTGCTCCACTGAACAGATACTGACTGCAGCTTGCTTGTGTAGCTGTTTGTCTATCTAAAAGTTATTTTTAGCTGAACCCTTTTTGGGGGGTTTAAATAAAGGAGCTCAAAAATTCATTCAGGCTGCTGCTTGTATGCATTTCCCCCACTGTGGAGATTTTGGTACATTTTATTTCTCTGAGAACCCCAGTGTGGTTTCCTCTCTTTATTCACATCTGCCTTAGGAATATGCTCAACCACCTTCACTCATGCTGACTTAAGTCTCTCTGGATTTATCAAAAAGACTCATTGATCCATTTCCAACTTTTATTTTTCATCTCTTCCATTTGTTTTGTTGTTTCTCACCTGGCGTTTTCTGTGTTTTATTTTTATTTTTCTTAAATCCCATTCTGTGTGCGTACCTCTTTCTGCAGTGTGTGTGTGTGGGCCTGGGCCTGGTCCAGCTGGCTCTTTAGCCTGCTCGCGTCCTGCAGGTGCTGATTCTCCAGAGAACCCAGTTTGTCCTGCAAAACCTCCTCCCTCTTCTCCAGAGACTCCAGACTGCTGCTGAGGACCAGACTCTTCTCCCTGGTGCTGCAAACACACCAAATCACACCTCGACTCAGTAATCACTCCACTACGTTTCTCAACAATGTTAGAAACTCTAAGGATTTGCGATGCTGTGACCTTATTGAAGACTTATGAGACTCATTTCAGGCTCCTTTTTTTTTTTTTTTACTGTACTCTGGAGTCATTTATACTTGCCTTGGCGCAGGCCCTCAATTTATCCGGTCTGAAACAAGCTGTTTTAGCTTCTCTCTATTTAGACCAGCTTTTTTTCCCCATAATTGGCTGTGTCTTATAGACAAATGATTTGAACACCCTTTGCGGGGCTTCTGTGGTCACAATTAAAGCTGTGATTTTATTAGTATCATGTAGATCCAATGGTAGTAAAAAAGTGCACCTCTGTAGGAATACTGAGAGAGATTACTTTGTACTCTGTCCAGACGCCATTATAAAACAAAAAATATATAAATCATTGTGTGTAACTGGGATACCTTACACATGATGTACAACATTTTTAAAAATAATTTTAGCAAATAAAGGCACAAACATTGCATATCCCTTTTTTATTAAGAAGAGTGAGACTTAATGTTAACAAATAGTCGTGTCTTCTCAATAGTCATGTGTTCACCATCACTGCTGGTAAACAGATGAGTGCCTGGTTCATACAGAGTGTTTTATTCTGAAAAATGACCAAACTGTATGCTTTCTCTGTGTCTGGCTTCCTGTCCTGCTTATCTGCACTATACAGCTTGGTGCACCATCCATCAAAAATAGACTAGGGGTATGTTTTTGGCCAAGTCCTCAGTGTGTCTCGGCACTGACTGACCTCATCCATCTTACAAATGCATTATGATATGGAAAATTATGTGCTGACGGGAATTCTTTTATTGACAGCGAAGATTTTGATCTGATAGAACATTTTACTGGAATTTACACTGGTAAATTCCTTTTGACGTAGCTCTCCAATATAATTTTCTGCTTATAGAGCTACATGCAACATAAACTGGAACATGGAGTTTATACATGTGTTTATAGTTTTGAAAACCTTCTGTCCAACATGTGGATCAAATCCTTCGACTGGTACTGTAAACAGTGATTTCTGTATTTAGCTTGTTTATGTAAATGCTGCAACAAAATGTCAAAACATTAAAAAACACTCTGACTTGTTTCCCTAAATGTCATCAGAAAGAGTTCAAATGCAGAAATTGATCCACAAACAGCAAAATCAAACTTTGGAAATGCTGACAACTCTCATTAGTCAGATCTCTTTAAAGTGGTTTTCAGTCTTCTCCTGGGATTTGATAACTTTAAAACACAGGAGAAAAAAATGCTTGATTACTTCTGAGTGCAACTGTAGTTAAAATACATGTCGAGCTTGCAATTACAAACATAACTACACTAGACCTTAATAAAAAAGTAAGCCAACAAAGCAGTCCCAAATACTGCAGTTCCTCTAACAGCCACTTGAGGCTGGTTCCAAAAGGGATTTCCAACTTTAGAGCAGAAATAAACCTGTTTACAGGCTGGTACAAAACATGGTTCTGACTCTACAGGTCATTTATCTTCCATAACAACTAAATAAATCTAAATAAATTCCTTTTTAAACTTCAAAGTTACAGTGTGTAAGATTTCAAAGCTAGTTGTCCATAGATTTCAGTCAGCTCAAATTGTTTGCTTACTCCTCCCAAATCAACCGGATCATTCCTGCTGAGGTGGCTGTTGTAGGAATAATGTGATTCATTCAGTCAAAAGATCAAAAAACATTTATATTAGATTAGCCCATAATGGATGTTTACAGTTTGTTTACAAGAAAACGTTTTTTGTACATTCGACCTGAACTTTTTTGAATAATATCAACAACAGTAATAAACCAGGAAATACAAAACAGATGGGTGTGTAACTATCTTACAGTATCCTATTTTTTTATCCTTTGAATTACCTCAAAAGCTCTGACCACCTTTCATCTGTAGTGAGTGTACTCAGACAGCAAAGTGACTCCGAACTGGATCCAGCTTGGAGGTTTTTGCTATCTGGGTAGGCTGTCAGTTCACTGTTTACCTCAGCTGTCAATATGCCGGATAAGAATCGTCCATGTCCAAAGTGCATTCATCTCTTTGTAGGAAGTCAAAAGATGTGTACAGTTTATTGTAAACTAGTAAAAAAAAAAATTGTAGCTGAAGCGCAGATAAAATCCTGCTGAGGACGTGGTTGTGGTGAGAACATGCAGCAGTGTTTTCTCTCAGTGGAGAACAAATCTGGCAGATAGTCTCAGTGAGCTGTCAGTCAGCTGTCATCTCCTCGTCTTTCTCTGCCTGAATCAGCTGGACACCATGTTTCCTTCTGTCAGTCTCACCCTCAGCCCGCCCTTTAATGCTGAATCCAAACTCTGAACCTGATCTGTCGACTTGGCACTGCTCCCGAGAGCCGTCCTCGGCCAGAATTCATCAACTCAATCACGCCTGTCAAAAGACTTTAACGTCCACCTAACAAAGTTTGATATGTTCCAGGTTTCGAGACTCTCAGCTTGAGATCCAGTTAAGAGAATATAAGTTTCAAAGTGGTGTTTATTTAGTAACGCTATATTCAAAAAGGTTTATAGCTGTGTGGATCTTTTTTTGACAAATAATTAAATGTAATCTTGTATAATTCTGACAGCACTGCAGTATAGTAAAATAAATAAAATAAAATAAAACAGTGGATTCAGATAAAAAAAATTTAAAGCAATGTGTATGTACCTGCTCAGCTCAGCCTCCAGGCGGTGCAGTTTTTCTGTGAGTGTTTTCCTCTCAGCTCTCAGGCCATCACAGTCCTGCTGCAAACACGTACACCGCTGGTGCAATGCAGTGCACTCCACTGTGGCAGCGAGACAGAGGATGCACAGTTATGATTAGTAGTGATTCAAAGACATGAATAGACAGCCTCAGACAAACATGCAGGCAGTGCTCACCCTGCAGCTCGCTGGCAGCAGTCTGCTGCTGTGCCTGCTGCGTGAAGGCCTCCTGCAGCCGGGCGATCTCCTCCTCGTATTTGGCGGCTGTGTTCCTCCAGTGCTCTAGCTCGGAGCGCACACTGACCAGGTCTGCCTGCAGGACAGTGATCTCACGCTCCCGCTCCGCCGTGGCCGCCTCCATAGCGTGTCGCAGGACAAGAATCTGATAGCAAAAACACAATCGGTGGTTCGATCACTTTCTCATGAGACTACAATTTGGTGCAAACTGACAAACAGGGAGGCTTTTTGCATAACGAAGAATGAGTGACAGAGATTCCAGGGTTCCTGACTCATTTAAACAAACAAACAAATCCTTATAATGTTTTTTATAAACTTAGAAAGGACTATGAGCAAACAATGTCACATTGTTTACTATTTGTCATTTTTAGAAACAAGAATGTCTAGTTACAATTTCATTTTTATTAGTTTCAATGTTTGTTATTATTACAATGATTTCAAAAGAAAATATTTTTAAAAATATTTCCACAGGCAAGATGTAAGATGTAGGGGTGCAACGATACTTGTATCGATATTGAACAATACAAATTTTTTATTTATTTTATTAACTTTTCTTCTGACGATGCTGTCTGTGTTGAGCGCTCAGAGGATTTGCGTTCGACTACTCTGCCTAGGCTGCACTGTCGAGCACAGATCCACTGAGCGCAGCACAAGCTAGCAAGACAAAAACTAAGCTCGTTGCAACATGGCAAATTGAACCTCCCCCACCCTCATTCAGATTTGGCGTTTGGAACTATTTTGGTCTTCATGTGAAGCATGACCCTAATGGTAAGCGCGTCATGGACAAAAGTAAAACAGTATGTTGGATGTGCCACGCAATGCTCAATTACATTGGTGGGAACTAGTGTGTTAGCGCAGTTAGCTTGTTAACGTGTTGACGCCGTCCAGCCCCATGCACGGGGCGATCTGCGGTAACTTGTTAACGGAGATTTGCCGCGTTATGGCGTTAATGTCATTTTAACGAGATTAACACTGACAGCACTAGTGGGAACACAACGAATATGACTGCACATTTACGCCGACATCATCCTAGTGCAAATTGGAAGCAGACAAAAACAACAAGCACGCATGCTATAAACTTTACCAGAGTCATTTAGACAGCCGTTAGCACCTTATGGGGACCTGATATGTTTAATATGCTGCTGAGAATATACCCCGGAAGAAGAGTATAGTATAGCTTTTATTTTGGAAAGAGCTATTTCTCTGTAATAAACTCTCTTTTCCAAAGATGAGTGATTCCTTGATCAGATAGATCTATTTTTTATTTTTATTTTGTTGTTTCAGCATTAAATTTAAAAACTGTACTTTTGAGTTAAAATATATATTTATAATTTTAATAAATGACAAATTAAAAAAAAAAATTTGTATCGAAGTGTGACACCAAAGTATTGAACTGAACTGAACGGTGAATTTTGTGTATCGTTGCACCCCTAGTAAGATGCACTAAAACCTCCTGAGGACTTGTGTGTTAAAAAAATGTAACCAGACTGAGTAAACCCAAAGACATTCCCTGAATATTTTTAATTGCACACAATGTTGTTTCAGTTTGTTGTCTTATTTCAGTTAATTAAAATTTTCCCTTTTATTAGTTTTAGTTCAGTTTTTTTAGTTAGTTTTTTTTTAAGCTCTTATTAGCAATTTCAACTTTTAAAGGGTTATTAATGACCCACTCAAACCCTGGAGTCCATGAAGAGTCTGACATGTTACACATTAGCCAAGAGAGGTTTCAAGACAGAATGGAAGAGAAGTGAGGAAGAGTTATGATGAAGAACTGGAAGCAACAGTAGGTGAAGAGGTACCTCCTCCTGGGCAGAGTAAAGCTCCTCTCTGGTGCTACAGATTGTGCTCTCCCTCTGCTCCCTCAGTGCCTCCATGTCAGCCTGAAGCTTCCCAAGCTGAGCTAAAAACACACAAGCACATAGGAAGTGAGATGTGGCAGCTAAATACTTATTGATACAAATCTATAGTACATATTTTTCTCTGTATTCACTCACTCTGCAAGAACTGGATCTGTTTGGTCGACTCCTCAGTCAGCTGAGAGTTACTCCTCCTCTCCTCCTCCAACAGAGCTGCACACCAAGAGTCACACAGTCATGTTTATACCACTGTTCTTTTATATTTTCATGCAACGTATAATTGGAGCGATGCAGGGCAAGAACTGTAATCTCACAAACTCAACAATACTGTAGTAAAAATGTATGAGGTAAACTTTAATTCAAACAAAGTTTGCGAGCTATTAATTTTAATTAAAATTCTAATTATAAAATATAATCCACAGCATTGTGAGAACACTGTTACCTTGTAGCTCTAGACATTTCTGCTTGCCGGTGTTGGCTAATTCTTGGGCCTCCAGAAGCTCTCTGTGGAGATGGTGGATGACCTGCTCCGTGTCTCCAGGCTCTAGACCGGCCCGATGTAGCTCATCTAACCACAGACACATACAAAATGTTAAGTACATTATTTATTATTATTATTATTATTATTATTATTATTATTCAATGACAAAGTCAGGGTCTACAAATTATCTGTATTTTTATTCAAAAAACAAAAAACAGGAACTTTCCAGACTTAACTTCTTCACTGTTCAATAAATACATATATGAATAAATGACTGAGCACACGGTGGCAGTGTGGATATCAACTTACTGAACATAACTGACTGGACTATTTTATTCAGTCAGTCAGGAGTGTAGTGGGTGGGGGCGGTGGGGGGTGTCCAGCTGACTAGATAGTAGCTAGTAGATATTTTATTGAAAAGATGGATGAAGTTGCCATGACGTCCTGGTTCAGTTATTCAGATTTACATGTGTATATTAGACATAAGTAAATGCAATCCCAGCTTTAAAAAATGCGCTTATTTAAAATATCGCCTGAGACCACAAACTGCAGGAAATAGTTTACCGAGGTCACAGGTCATGGCAATGAGGCCTTTTCCCCCCACTCATATTTAATACACCTAGACTTCTTATTGCACCCAAAGGCACCCCCTGCTGGCCATTAGCAGGGGTGAGAGTTTAAGGCACTTCAGGCTTCGCTTCATCTGCCTTTCATACAGTCTGTAGACACAAACTCTAAAATGGAAAAAACACCAGGCCCTTCAGGGACCAGCACAGCTGAACATCTCCCTAATGGTCAGTTAAATACAATAATCAAACTGGGCGGCCCGGTGTTTTGGGGTTTATGATCACAGGTGCACGGCCACAGTTACCTTTGAGCAGAGCTACTCTGTTCTGAGGTTCATTCAGCTCTTGGTCGTTCATGTTTCCATCTGAAACACACAAAAACGCGTAAAACTCCTGTGGCTGCTTTAGGATCTATACTCCAGCAGTTTCAAGACGAATCAGATACTGACATAATAAACTGCTAGAGAGAACAAGCGATTTTAAAAGATACATAACACAAATCTCTTTCAGGCAACTCATTTATGACCCTCAGGAAAAAATCGAAACATTCTCAGTAATTTGTAAAGCTACTCTATGATTAATTAAAGATTGAAGAGCAGACAGTGTGAGACAGAACAGCTAAACTTTAAACAGATGTCAACGCTATTCGAAATTAGGTGGAAAAGAAAAACCTTTCCAGTAAAACTGAGAAAACACAAGACAAATTTTGGAATTGCCAAAATTAGACTTAAACCGATGAGCAAGAATGTATGGGTGTTTTCACTGACCTGACGTGTCGTCACTGCTGCGGTCTTTGCTGGGACTCAGAGTGTCGGACATGTCTGACTCTTTGGCATCCATCTGATTCCCTGTGGACGTACACACGAAAACAAACATGCACATCAGCCAGGACTAACTAAAAAACTACAGTGTAATCACTTGACAGTCAACATTTACTCGTGCCATCAAATTCAAAACCAATAAATTACTTTAATCAGCTGGAACACATGCACAGTGTTCAGGTAGATTTATACTTCTACTTAAATCAAATGTAATTTTGGGATCATTAAAACTGAACATTTAAAAAAAATAAAACAATATCATGAAACCTAATTTCTAACTCTGGTGTGTTCTCTACCTTTGAGTCGATCAGGGCTGGTCAGGATGTCATCTCCCGCCGTCTGGTTGTTCTGTAAGTGGGCGTCCATCACTTCTACAGAAACATCAGGGTGAAAATTTCAGTTCAGGTTTTAAAAAACAGCAATCCATTTAGCTTGCTTTTGTTCATGGATGAATCTATATCAGGACTCAAAAAACAAAAGAAATCCAAAAGAAACTGAGTTATTAACTTACCATCAAAGTTGGCCAGTTTGTGGAGTGAATCACTGACGGTCTTCTTTAGGTCTATGACGGCTGCAGAGAGAGAAAAAAAACAGAAAACCAGAAGGAATCAGTTTAAATAAGTCTGAAAATAAAATCTGACTGCCACCATTATCAGCTGGATTAGCAGTTGGTTAGTAAAAGTGTTAGTATACAAATCCAGAAAAAGTAATGTTTTATTTCAAACTTCTCAAACTGAACAGCTGAATCAGAGATGAATCATTTTAACACAATTATCAGACGACTGGAAAAAACGTGTAAAACACTGAACCAGCTGACAGCTTGAAGTAATTAATCACTACTGCAGTGACATCTCACTTATGTATCCTTACATTCAGTATGATAAATCCAATGACATTTTTGTACAGCAAAAACTAACTGAATTCAAATGTGGAAATAAAGTTAATAAAAAATAAATACTTAATGCAATCGAGACCCTTGAAAAAGCCAAACTACGCTTACCAGCTGTTATTAGCTGTTCACACAATAAATGTGAAATTAAACTACAAAATTAACACAGCTCACTTCAATCAATTCCAAATGACCTTAAAACTAAAGCTTCATCTAAAGTCCTAATCTCCATCTGTGCATTATAAACCACACCAGAATGTGGCTGACAGCTGACAGTAAATGTAATCAACCGACAAGGTACAGCAGCAATAAAAATTCCACAGTGGATGATGTTTCCTCAAATGTTTTCACACACTTGCTACTCAATCTGTTTCTGGTATGAGTGAAGACATGGTCAATGTGTAAAAAGGTAAAATTTCCAAAGTTATGTGAACTGAAGAAACTAGAAGAGAAGGCGAGGGGGAAAAAATAGAAGGGAGCAAAAAAAAAATCTGTTTCACGTTAGTGAAAAGTCATAAAAGCAGCATGCAGGAAAAAACACTGCTCCAGGAGAAGAAGAATAAAAGATGCCATAAGGAAATCAAAGCAAACAATATATATGTGTGGGTTTTTTTTTTTAAAAAAGAGGAAGAAAGAGTTCAATATTCAGGAACATTTGGTCAGTGAAACATCACCAGGCTCCAAATGTAATCTAATTATTCTCACAGAACCATGAAAAATAAAACTGAAATTAAGGCTTAGGTGGGTCCTCTAGTTTCACAATTTTTCAGCTAAAGCCTGCTCAAATGATCTGACAAATGGTATTAACACTTTAACTTAATCTTCCCAATAACACATATTTGCTCTCTTCATTCACAACAGTCACAAACAACAGCTGTGCTGTGATTTTAGGAATAATCACAAAGAGAGCTCATTCATGTCTGTGCCAGCTGCAGTGAGGTAAATTTCATGTGCTGCTGCTGACAGAAAAACAAGATGTCGCTCTTGCAGAGTAGTATAGACTGTTTTTTTTAAATCAGAAAAAAACCATCCATCTTCTTCCGTTTTATCCGGGGCCGGGTCGTGGGGGCAGTAGCCTAAGCAGAGAAGCCCAGACTTCCCTCTCCCCAGCCACCTCCTCTAGCCTATCCGGGGGAACACCAAGGCGTTCCCAGGCCAGCCGAGAGATATAATCTCTCCAGCGTGTCCTGGGTCTGCCCCGGGGCCTCCTCCCAGTGGGACATGCCCGGAACACCTCACCCAGAAGGTATCCTTGTTAGATGCCCGAACCACCTCAGCTGGCTCCTTTCGATGTGGAGGAGCAGCGGCTCTACTCTGAGCCCCTCCCGGATGGCTGAACTTCTCACCCTATCTCTAAGGGAGAGGCCAGCCACCCTTCGGAGGAAGCTCATTTCCGCCGCTTGTATCCGCGCTCTCGTTCTTTCGGTCACTACCCACAGCTCGTGGCCATAGGTGAGGATAGGGACGTAGATCGACCAGTAAATTGAGAGCTTCGCTTTTACACTCTCTTCACCACGATGGACCGGTGCAGCGTCCACATCACTGTGGCCGCAGTGAAAAGAAGGTAGAATATTCCCTCCAAACAAAACGTATAAATTCTAAACACACAAATCAGTCTGTGCATAATCACATTGCTCCGCCAATAAAAAAACTCACCTGCATGAATATATCGCCTATCATCGGTTATTGGACTGGAAAAAATTTACATATCGCCCAACCTTATCTACAACTTTTCTTTAAGAGATCATCCTTTGGTGTGGCAAGGATAATAGAAAATTGTGCTAGAAATCGATGTTGTTTTGTTTCTTGTGTTGTTGAATATAAATGAAGTATGATTTTAATACTTCATTTTTATTCTTTACTTTGTACTACATAATATTTTGCAGTGAACAAACTAAAAGACCCACAGCAGCAAAGAACATTTGATTGAAACCATGAAAAGACAAACATAGCCATTAAACAATTATATCTGCATAAAATAGTTTGGCTGCTTAAGGTTTAAATACTACGCTTAATACTACTCAACCTTAAAAAGTTTATGCTGCTTAGCCAATCTTTATGAAAAGAACACATGCAGTTTTCTCAGAATACTCTTTACTAGCCTGTTTCACACAAAATAAAACTGCTCTGAAGAAACAGCCAATTAAAGAAAAACAATCTTCATCCAAAAGATTTAATCACAGTTCACTAGTTAAGTAAAGAAGAATGAGCAAGAACAGAAACAACTTTAAACCAGGAAAATACAAGGATGCGATGATGTGTTAAGGCATGTGAAGAATGAGTAAGAAAAATGTAGATTTCATTACATCACATCTCGAAATTTAGAATTTTTAAAATCATTACAAAGTGGGATATTATGGTATTATTGGAATTTAGTGGAAGAAATTTTTAGTTATTAAATGTTAGTGTCCAGATCTTATAATTCTGAGGAAAACAAAATAAAAATTGCCTAAGTATAACTTAAATGTTGTGCTTTTCATTTTATGACTTAAGCGCTCTGACAGTTTCATTTGGCTTCTCCTGGCATTGTTTGGCCTCCGTGGGAAGAAAGTAAAGGAAATAATGAGGAAAAAGTGTTTCGGTAACAGCAGAAATGGATGCTTGTACTCACGCAGACAGTCAATTAATTGTTGGTTTCTAGTCGAGTCTCCTCCGCTGTTGTTAACATGACAGTTGTCTGATAGAAACACAGAGAACTGACATTACTATGAAGACTATCAGAGCAGAGCCCGGTATTTCTTTTCGATTTTATTGATTCTGCTTATCAATGCCAGGGTAAATTGAACCATGGATTTAACGCAGATCGATACAATTTTTTTGAATTTCTGGATTTTGATTTTTTTTTTTTTAAAACTTGTCCTGATTCTAAACTGGTTTTATTGCAATATTATATTGAACTGCAAGACAAGTGGGTTTACTGCATCCCACGTGCTTGTGCCTGTGTAGCCAATATAAGCACACTGAAGAGCAGACCATAAAACTTAATGTTCTGGATTAGATAAGCAGAATCACAAAACATTGTCCTTAAGGATCGACAAATCTGGAACAGGATCCAGTGGAGAATTGGCTCTCCAGACCCAACCCGGTTTTAGACCAGACAGGTAGAACCAAAGACAGAAATCATGACGGACAAACAGGTAGAAGCAGGTAGAATGCATGAAAGAACGATTTACAGAGAACTATGAGGACAGATAGATGCACAATAAAAGGATGGAGCTGAAATTAAAGCCAAAATTGGTCTCTTCAGACAGAAAGTTATAACACAAAGGTTCTGGACAGATACCACATCAGACAAGATGTGGACAAGCAAACAGCAGACAGGAAACAAAGCCTCCCAGCAAGTTTTCATTTCAACATCACGCACAAGAAATAACGAGTTAACCAGCCCAACAGTTTTCACAAGTCCGCTCGAATTTTGAAGAAATAATAATAATGATAATAATAATTCCACCTCATTTTTGCATCTAAGTAGAGACGTTACCAAAACAAAGTGAAATCAAAAAGATGATACAGTTTAACTCCCAAAATTCTAACAATACACAAAAACTGAATTCAAGGCTCGGATCAAACAAGTTATCATTTAAATGTGCAAAATATGAGGCTCATTTTAAGTAAAGTATCACCGTCTGAAATAGGTTATTTCAAGAAAACTGGAGGATAGTCATGGGTAATATGATGTGGCAGGAATGTTTAACTGGCTGTTGTTTTAAAAAAAAAAAAAAAAAAAAACTTGGATAGTGTCTGTGATCTTAACCCACTTCATTAAAAAAAAGAAACGGAAAGGGGAAAAAATCCAACACATTTTGGACCACTGTGGGTACCAATTTAGGAGATATTGTGTCATTACACAGTATGCAAACCCATGAACAGAAAAAGCATTGATCGACTGGCCCAGAAGGCAGTGTTCAGTTGAATCCTGAATCCTGCCAGAGGACAGAAACCAAACCAAGCACATGATCTCCTGGTTGGAGTAATTAGAGATGGCAGATTTGAACGGGATTAAGGTCACTCTGCACTCATAAATTACTAGGTAAAACTAGTTCCTCACTAAGAGGGTTTAAGAGAGTGATTAAAAAAATAAAATGCATTTTTAAATTAGAAAGTGTTTGTCTGTATCCTAAAATAAAGATCAATGTTAAAAAAAAAATTAAAAAAAAATAAAAAAAAATCTAAAAACCTGGGGAACCCCCCCCCAAAGAAAATAATATCAATAGCAAATTATTCCCTAAATGTTTTTCTAATTATTTGTATTACAATAGCATTTTGTTTTGTTAATTCTGTGAAGGAAAACCTTTTAAAAAAACAAGCCTAGATATAAATTAAATAGTTTATTATTATGATAATTAAACTACCATCAGCATCTTCATCTTCCCCAACTGCACCATCATCGGTGTCTGTATCCTCATCATCGTCTTCCTCCTGGCTCTCGCGTATCTGCTGTGTGGAATCTCTGTCCTCGACAAGCTCCTCTACTGGTCCGTGGGGGACAGTGACGACATCTGTCATGTGACCAGATCAGATATAGACGATTTTGTCGAAATGTCACCAGAAATGTTGAGCACAGAGTCTAAATGATGGCGGGTTCCGTCATAAGGTGATTACTGTGGCGAGGTGTGCAGTGAGGCAGTCACCCGCAACATTCATGTTCAGAGTGTCAGGCATTCAATGACCAGAAGTCAATCAGTGACCAAGGCTACTTTTCCCCCCACAGGAAGAAAAACAAAGCAGTGGACAGTTTGGAAACCAGAGAAACAGCCCAGATTATCCAAAAAGCCCCAGAAAAAAAAACTTCCATCACTATCACCAGTGGATATACCGACCATCGAGCTATTTAAAGGACATGAAGCCTTGTACAAATCCTACGGGCTTCACACAGAGCTGAAACTGAAGGTCACATGAAACACTTTGGCTTCAAAAGACTTTAGAATCAGAATCAGAACTTTATTAATCCCTAAGGAAAAGATGTACCCCTGAACAATCATTAAAAAGAAAACGCTTTAGGCGGTGTGACAACAATACCTCATCAGCCTTTTACGGCTGAGGGGTAAAAACTACTAATTTAACATAAATTAAAGTTCAGATCACCAGAGCCACAGCATCAGCAAACCTTTGGTTGTTTTAGGTAAAATATTTACTCGCCTTAGTTTCACGTCATATTTTTTTACCTGTTCGTCAGAGACCCACTTTCACATTTCAACTCCCAGTTTCAGAATGTACCAAAAATAATAATAATAATAATCCTATCTCGCTCACTTTTCTCCAAACGACATTTTTCTTCCTCTCACTATCTCACAGCAAAGTTAAACCAAACAGCTCAAGCTGCCATTTAAGGGCGTCATCAAGCTTCCCCTCCATTTCTTAATGGCATCAGAAGAATCACAGCTGAAGAGTTGAGAAACAGACAAAGAAAGTTTTTTGCTCAAGTTGCTCAATCAATTCTGAACTCGCCTCTATTCCCTCTATTCTCGTTGCCTAGTGCAACATCTTACATCAGCTGGAATCATTGTAGAGATATATGTAGTTACACTATAAAACTGAGCTGCTTTATTGGTGAGCGAACTGTAAAAATCTCTGGAAAATGACCACAACGTTTTTTTGCACAAGAACCCACATACTGTATGATGGATGCAGCTAGTGTGCGGTGCCTTAATCCCCTAATTTGTTTTAACATGCAGTGTAAAGCTTTACTATTTGTTTACTTATTCAAATAAGTCATAACTGGAATAATAAGAACAACCTTTACAAAGTTGGAAATATTTGCTATGTTTCATACTGTAATAAGCATAAATGATGCTGGTCCTACAGCTCCCATTTCTGGTGACTTATGAGTTAGTCAATAATGCTGCAGGGTGCGCTCATGTGCAGCCACTTTTCATATAATAGGTCTGTATAAGAGGAGAGGGCTGCAACTGAGCCTGACAACCATGCCCAATATATTCTCCACTGATTTTCAAAACTGGATATATTCCTGATAAATTATTTTAACTTCCTGTTAACCCCCCAGTAATATTGCTGTGTAACATCGTATTTCTATAAGTAACATCACCTAAAACTAATTATTATAAACCTTCCTAATATTTGAAAACTTAAATTTAGGTCATTTTATCTCAGTGTTTATGTTTCTGATTATAAACGTGGAAAAAGATGACACTTTCTGAATACTCTCAGGACTTATTTGAACGCTTCAGTTCCTGCACCAAGATATAAACTACCAGAGGAAATGGAAACCCGAAGGCTGGATGTCATGCTACCATAAACAAGACGAAAACAGAAGACACCCAGATTCCCGTGACAGACAGATAGAAGTTCAGTGATAAGAGCAGCAAGCAACAGGAAATTACATGGAAATCATGCAGGAAGCTGTCATGCATCATTAGTGGAGGCTGAGGAAGTGATAGAGATACACAAACAGACGGTGATGCAGATGACGCAAACCCAGGACATGTGGACTCACCCAGACTGTTGTTCTCTTTAATGCTTTTCTCTTGTAGCTGTTCTAACCGCACTGTAAACAACAACAACAACAACAACAACAAAAGCAGAGAGAAGTGTTGACTGACAGGAAGTCCGAGCACAGGTCGAAGACATGATCTGACCTGCGCAAGAGGAGCTATGTTATTAAAGTGACTGGCGTAAAGGGATCACTATGCCAGCGGGTTAAATAGGACAGTGTGTTTGCTCTGTGTATAGTTGTAAAGATGCAGACGATGCAGATTGATCACCAGGTGACTGAAAAACCATCATTTAATGTATCCAACCTATCATGAGTTTAACCAGGTCATTCAGTACAAAACTGAAATTGGCTATGATGTTTATAAATATTCTAAGTTACTGGACCACAAAGTACACGAGAGGGCTGGCATTTTTTTAAGCTGCGAAAAGGATTATGACTAGAGGATGAGCATGTTATTAAAGCACAGGTAAAAAGGAGACCTTTCATTTGTTATAAATTGTTTTGACCAGCCACCTGTCTCATACTACAGTAATATGACCTCCTCACAATTTAGTCAAAATACACTTTTTGTCATTTTCTCCATTAACTATTGCAAAACAGATCCAACATCCTAATCGGATGCCTAAATACACTCAGATGTCTAATTGCAAGTAGCAGATCAACTCTGAGCTCCTCCTGAATGAGAAGTTGCTGTCCAGTTGCTTTTATTACAATTTGGGATCAAGCTTTGATTTACGCAACCATATGATTGGATTAAGCGTCCAAGTCTGTGTAATGCCACATGAATTGAAGTGTGTGCGCACGTGTGTTTGTACCCTGCAGGGCAGCGAGCCTCTCATTGGTGAAGTCATTGTCTGCCTGCAGAGCCTCGATGCGAGCCTGGAGAACCTGCTCCTTCTCCTCCATTTCCTCAATCCGTAGTTCCAACTCCCTCTTCTCTGTCGCGCCCCGCTGAGTGAGCTCCTCCTGTCTTCCCTCTGCAGCCTGGAGGAGGAGAAAAGGACGTAGGAGAGGTTAGCCAAAGGAAGGAACAGAAGAGGACAAAGACAAGGGTAAAAAAAAGTGGAATAAGGAGGGAAATGGGGAGAAACCAAATAGAAAAAAAAGATTATATGCTACATAAAACACAGCTCCCATTTTTGATAAATAAGGATTATTCTGAACTATAAATAATGCAAAGCTGCTCTAGCAGAGTCTAAGAATAAAACACAAAATGAGCTTAAAATGAGCACAGATTCCCTCTACTGAATTTGTAGATAATTTTATTCTAAATATATCTCCCAAAAACACATTTAAATAAAACTTGTTCTAAAATAAAGTAATGCTGCAGGAAAATAAATAATTTTTCCTTGACGGTTACCTTAATTTTGTCAGTGAGCTCTTTGATCTCATTAACGGCCGCGTTGTACTTGTTGGCGAGCTCCCTCAGCTCCTCCTGACTCCTTTCAGACATCTCCTTCAGGTGGGTGCACTCGTCCTCGGTGTTACTGAGCGTGCGCTGCACAACAGCAGAGATGGCACCAAATGTTAACCTTAGAAGTTTTAATTAGTTTCATTCTGTGCATACCATATACACATGTGTATCGTACCTCCACCTCTGACAGCTTCCTGACCACCTCGATCTTCTCCTGCAGAACTCTCCTCAGAGACTCCTTTGCCGTTGTCTCGTAGTTGTGTTTGTCCTCCTGAAGAGCCAAGAGTTCCTTACGGATCCCTTCCTCTGTCTGGGACTGAAAGAGAATTTTAAAACGCGATGATCATTTTAACTTTGCTTTGATTCATTGTAGAAGTATGCAGCCATTTTTTTATGTGTATGTATACCTTAGAGTAAGCTTGTAACTGACTGCCCATCACCTCCAGCCTGGAGAGAAGACGGTCCTCATCAATCAAAGCCTGTAGGAGACACACACTTAGTTTACAGCAGTCCTTATCACATTAGATACCATCTATAGATGAAAACAACACAAATTAGTTTAACTAATCGCAGCGTAGTGTACTAAATGACCCTGATTAAATATGAGCAGTTAGATATGATGTTGCAAACTCGAGGTGAATCCAAGTTCACAACTCTATATAGGCTCTATTATTAAATAACCAATGAAAGTGCTGTGCCTCATTTTGTTGTGCTCATCTTTGAGATTTGTGGGAAACACTATACTCATATGTTACTAAAAAGACTAAATGCTGACCTGCCAGAAAGCATGATCACAGCTGCACTTGTTCCTCAACTTGTGAAGAATGAAGAATGAAACGTGGTATTTCCTACCTGCCAGCTGCTCTCTGAGGCCTCCTGAGTGGTGGCTAACAGACGCTGAAGAGTGGCTAACTTCTGCTCCAACATCTGCTCTCTGTGTAAGGCCTCCTAGAGAGTGAGAGGGAGGTCGTCGATGAAAAATAACTAAGCACAAACAAAAGCTTACACAGTTATTCATGACAATGTCTGATTTTTATCCACTAATATTAGTGCACCAGTTAACTTCAGTTAGCTGCTTGTTCTTTGCGGTTTATTGTAATCTTTGCTTGGAACCTTCCGAGGGAATGAGGATGCAAATTAGTTCTAAGCCAACTCTGGTACAGTGCATCAACATTTATGATAATATTATACATGGTTCCGTTTTTAGCTACAATCTTAAGTGATTGTAGCTAAAAACGGATAATATAAAAATTAAAAATAAAAACAAAACCAGTAATCAGATTTTTTCACTCTTCCTTTAGAAATAATTTAAACATGTATTCTTCATTTCAGTTCTTTGTGCTTTATAGAAAGTTGGTTTTTAGTAATGACCTCTGATGTATGCTTTTCATTATGTAATCTATTTTTTTGATCAGATAAAAATTCACATCAATTTCACATCAGAGAAATACTCCTGTCAAGTCTTCACATTACCAATGTTGTCTTGTTAAAGCAGACCTATTCTGTTCATTTCCCAGCTTCATAACTTTAGTCCTTTGGGGTGTAACAGAGTAAGCCTGCATTCTTCTGATTGGCTGTTGTTTGTAAACACAAGGGTTGACCGGCAGGTGGGTGGAGCCTTCAAGCCTGATAACTATATGAAGGATATCCCTCTGCATGGCATCATATAGATGGTGCAAAAACAGCCATAAACCAGCTGTTTAGAGCAGTCTGAAGCCTGAACTTATGGCTCACCATGATTATTTGTATGTGAGCAAGCACCAGTTTAACTGTGTTTGTACATATTTATATAAATAAGAAAATAAGGAGAAGCACAATCACATTTCAGACTCATTATTGTTAGTGTAGTTCTCAAATATGTCCAGTAGGTGTCAGTGTGTTACCTGTAGATACTGGGAGAGCTGGAACAGTTCCTGAGAATACATACTGGGAGTGTTGGCTGCAACCTAAAAAACAAACACAAACCATGGAAACATCCTGACAGTTCTCTGAGACTCATTCAGCCTTTTGTTTGAATGCAAGGAGTCAATAAACAGCTGAAAAACCAAAGGTTAAAGAGTAAGCTGACCTTAACATACAACAACAAACATACATGAAGACAGAGCACAGGAACAGTGTCCACTTCTGCCTGACTACATCTCTGATCATTAAAACATGACATGAAATATATAATTCTCTGCTTTCATTGACTCACTTTGAGCTTCAGAATTCTCTGAACGACTCTCCGTTAATAACTTTCATTTCAATATCTGTTTGTCAGTCAGTAATGTTTATCTATGCATCTATGCAACTGTTACTGTTGTAGCCACAACTTAATTTTTACCTCTTTCCCTCTGATAATGACAAATTACTTCAGTATCAAAAACGGGTCAGAAAATGAATAATGTAGTGTATTCTTCTTTGTTCTGTTTGTTTTTTTTAAGTTGTATAATTTACAACATATTTATTGTAATTTACTTCTGGTGGCCTACATGCAGTACCTTTACAGCCCCACGCTTTTCCACACTTTAAGCCTGGGTCAATGCTAAGTTGTGTATCATAGAATGGATGCTAACTATCTGCTACTGACTGCCAGTAGCAAAACATATTTAGCACAAAAAAGTGTTAAAGTTAGTACTGCTTTTCTTTTTGTTGTTGGAGGCTGTTGAATTTAACGAAAGAATCCTTAACGAAACAAATCTAGTCAAATTTCAAATAGGTCTGCGTGATAGCAAGCAAAGTGATGAAAACACTCAATACAGCCTACAAATAACCACACTGACATGTTCAGGTTCTCCACTCATCTGAAGAAAGATTTCATGTACACAGGAAAAAGCTCTGTGGAAAATTAAACTTTAAGGAGTGACTGATAACGAGCAGTACTGATAGTGTCCATTAGTGTTACGCTCAGCTGGATTTCTGTTAGCCATTTCCATCTGCTTGCTTCTCACAGACTTTACACTTACACAGTATTCAGTATACAGGCAAATAATAAATATGTTCCTGTTGTCAGACAACAGATTAACCATGAAATATCAAAGCCGCATGGTCACCTTTGTATGTCCACACCTATTCCTGCTGGTTGGTTTTTATAACAGATCTGTGAGCTGGTTTTCTTTTATCCTTGTATATATGTGTACAAATCAAATCAGCATGCCCTTTGTTATCGATGTTTTATGTTTGTTACCAGTATGAGAACATAATGAGGAAAACACCTTTTACACTTGCGGCGCTAACCTACATAAGGTTTAATACATTTATACACACACACACATATGACTATGTGTGTTGAGACCTGGGAGATGTGAGGATCCTGCTTTAGGACACTTAACTATGTTTAAGAATGGCTCAAATGTAATCATAGCTCCTCTCAGGCGTGCTCACACACCAGCCTACATTCCTCAGACAGGTTATACTGAGTCTTTGCTGCTCTGAGGAAGAATCAGAGCAGGGCGAGGCAACAGAGGAAGCCTGGTACAACACACTATGGGTACACAATTAGTCTGGTACTGCACTGTATGGCACATAGAGTTACATTACATTACATTACATCTATATAATGTGTTTAAATAAATTTGTTAAAGTACCATGTGTCTACATGATCACATATGGTGTGGTACAGGAAACTATAGAAAGGTGTTCGTTATGATATGACAAAGATTTACTCGTTCATTCAAATTACATGATAAATTATCCCTTGTGTGAACACAGCACTGGGAGCCAGCTGTTGCATGCGGACTAATTCAACTAATTGCAAAGTAGCTGTAAAACAAACCACAGCAACTAAAGCTCGTAATTTCTACTGATTTCTTTTTTTATTTCTTTTTCAAATGGTTGATACCTTATTACTGGAACTTCTTGATACCAGTACAGGTTTTTACATTCTCAAAACGGTCCGTGTTGCCTTACTGAGCATAAATCTGTGCACTTTCCTAATATTTTATGACTATTTGCAAAAGACCAAAACAAAATAAAAAAGACAAAACTTTATTCTAAGGAAATCCCACTATTAGAAAAAAAAAAAACACCACTGATTAAAATCAATATTTTCATATATCTAAAGATTTTACTTCGTGGGAAGCTCAAAGTCCAATATTTTTTATGTGCAGAAATAATCTTGTAGTGTACATACAATACATTGGTACTAGTCAATTGATCAGCTAAACTAACAGCAAATTTCCCGATTACAGTACTAAGGAATTTTCCCAATGTTACAACATTGAGGTTAAAGAATCAACCTCAATTCCTTCTGGAACTTTAAAAGAAGTCTATATGACTGAATTTAGCACCTGACTTGTAGAAAAACAAAAAAACAAAAAAGTGTACTTTAAATTGTACAGGGTATTTTGTTTTTGGCTTCATTCATGCTCTTTGATGCCTGTCTGTGTAGGTTTGTGAGACTTCCTGGAACAGCAGCTTTCAGTGTTGCAAATTTTAGCATCTCTTAATTTGGCTTGGAAATTCACCCCACATGGAGAGGCAGATTCCAAGAAGCATGACAGGAATGACCAATATTACTGTAAATTGGGAAAACCAAATTTTGAGTGTTAGATTTGCAGGATTGCAAATCCCACCAAAGCTGGCCCAAATTTAAACCGTGCAACTGTATAAAAGATAATGTCCCGCTGTGTGGATTATGGACATTATCTGTGAAAAGCAGTTTTTACACACAATTCAAACATTAAAACATTTTTTAACCCATCCCATTTAACCCAAACACAACCGGAGTCAAGGCATGTGTGCAGTCACAGCACAGCTCAGCAACTTAGCTGCTTATTCACCCCTTCATCTCTCCTTACCGTGAAGACACAGGAGAAGACTTTAAAGCACACTAAAATAAACAATGGCAAGTCGAGTCACGCAAGTCTGAAGTGTGCCACATGCTGATGTAGACTTTGGTAAAGCTAGAATTGATTTTCATAGATATGAATTTCCAAATCAATAACTGAAATGTGAAATGCTGCAAATAACAGATCTTTCTAGTGAGGGGTTACAGATAACTTTTCATCTAGAGTTGATTCAATTCCAATTCACAAGGTCCCGCATCGATTCGATCCACGATTTGATTCGAATCGGGGAAATTTTGCCTCAGACAGTCAGAAATATTATAATTCTGATCACTTATCAGTACATATCTATATTTTTTTATATCTATAAAAAGAAAGCTGACACTTGTGAGACTTTATCAAAGGTGTAAGCATCACAGCAGATTCCTTTGTGTCAAAGTAACTGAGGATAAAACACAGAAAAACATGAAGGCGGTTTTCCTGGTCTGGGTTTTTATAGCAGATGACCTTAAAAATATTGTGCAGTCAAAAACGAAGTGAAGCAGAGCAAAGTTACAGAGGTTTGATTAGAGACACAGCTAAGCATTTTGAAATTTTGCGTAATTTTAAGTTTAAGTTTAAATTTGTTCAGTATTGAACAGCAGAAATGAGGCTTTGTTGTCGGAAGTAAGTTAGCAAAAAAACCCCAAAAAGAACCAGCAGACTGTAGACTGGTGGGTAATAAGTAAGCGAATAATGCAAAAAACAGATTTTTAGATGGGAAACTATTCCTGAGAGAGAGAAAGAGAGAGAGAGCTCTACATGAAGTGCGATTTTATCGTGGTGGAAGCAAAACAGCAAAAGTAAGAGGAAATTCGTGACGATGTTTATGTGAAGCGAAATGTGAAGCGTAGTTTGGATCGTCTTTGGCTGCTGGTTCAGTCAGTATTGTTTGGAGAGAGATAAAATCTGCAGCTTCAGAATCTAGCGCAAAAAGGACGTAAACACAAAGTGCCCGCCAACGCTTCAAAATCAGTGAGCTGTTGGCTTTCAGCCCCGACGGCGTGTCCGCGTACGTGCGTCGGGTGAGAAAGACGACAGCTCACTGATTCGGATGCGTTGGGTCCGCGTTTTGTGTTTACGTCTTTGTGCAGAATCAGTGTACCTGCTGTCATTTACTGTTTTAGCTGTTTGGTGGTTGTAGAAATTTTGTGAGGTTTAACCTGAGATTCTGGCATTTCAGGCAAAATAAATTTATATTTAAAAATCAATTCAGGATTTTAATGAATCGATATCACGTTATCCAAGCCAGAATCGATTTTAATTGATAAATCCCACCCCTAATTATGAATCCAAACAAATAGTTGATCTCCAAAAGCATTGGGACTTCAGTTTAGAGAGGTCACATCCTAGCTCTGAGAACATAACAAATTTCTTTTTAAACTTGAGTGGACAAACATCTAAATGTATGTGAAACCACAGCCTGTACAGTGGCAGAAAAAAGAAATCCTGCTTCTTGATGCACATGAAGGATTTCTGTAATGCTGCAGCACCAACTGGCAGGGATCTCTGCATTCCTTTGTCAGCTGACTAACTCCACTCTGTGTGTTTAAAGACCACTTATGTGTGTTAGAAATACAAACACACACTCTTAGATGCTTCTCTGAGGTGTAGCCCTACATGTGAGTGAGTGAGAGACACTTTGACATGGGACAGGACAACACAAACAAAAACACGCACACACATACATACTTCTGTTCTTACCTTGTCTATAGGTAGTGGTAATGGAGGCTGGATGACACTGAAAGAGGAAGAGAGGAGAGAAAAAAGTTCGTCACCATAGAAACACCAAAGAGCAAAGACACGTGGAGTAACCACGGAGACCGAAATAAAAAAAAATGTTCCTGGAAAAGTCTTGTGACATCGGTTTTTCAGCTCATTTTAATAAAACATTCATTCTATTACGACCAAGTCACTGGCAACAAGGAGTCCATTTCCCACACCTTTCTGACATTTCACCAGGTATAAATCACTTGATGTAAAAAATATCCACTCAGCAACTGAGCCTTGCAACAATTTTTAGATGGGAAGAGCAGAGGAAAAGACAAAGGGAAAAAAAAACCTAAGACTTTTCTAAAACTTTGGTTATGTTCATAGGTTATTTATGCAACTGGGGAAAAATAAAAAGTGAGCATTTATATATTACATATTTATGTATGTAATTTAATCAAGCAAAAACCTCCAGGTCTGAAAAATGAAGTCAATTCATGAAGAAAATAACTGCAGTCCCTCTAATGGCCACTTAAGACAGGCTTTTAAAGTGAGTTAGTTGGCACAGACTCACATGTTAAAATGTCTAACTTTGCAACATAAATAATCATGTTTACAGCCTGCAACAAAACCTTTGTTGACAGGAAAGTCCATAAAAGGTTGAAACTAACAAGAAAAGATAATAACCTGGTTATGACCAAGTGTATGAAAAAAAATGCCAGTCAGTTATTAGTAGTGGTGGTAGCAGTAATAGCGGTAGTAGGAATAATTATTGTAGTATTAGTATTTTTTTTTATTACCATTTTTAATAGTTAACCTGTTTTCACACGTTTCACAGCTCACTGAGCTCAGCTAAATGCTCCATCAGAGACTGCACTCAGGTGGGTTTTATGTGACATACACTAATAACAATACTCAGTATCTCAGTGATACTTTTATAGGAAGATGAGTGGATATCTTTTGTTTGTGTGTTTGCTTTTGGAAAGACATGAAATCACACTGTCTAAATTCCTAAGTACCCTGCTACACTGGAACAAAACTGAAACCTAAGAGTCAAATAAATATTGCCATGTGTTACTTCAAAATGGCAGATAACTGGTTTCCTTTTTTTTTTGTTTTAAATAATATTATTAGTTGACTAATTTAATTCACATACTCATTATCAGTTTCACTTGCAGCCTGAAAAACACTCAGACACATGTGTTTTTAACTTTTAGTGAACTTGCACTGAATCACACTGCAGTGGTTGCTGTGTATGTTGGATCAGTGTGGTGTGGTTGCTGCAATTACATCAAACACAGTCAAGTCAAGCTTAAGCCTGAGAGGATTTCCCTTAAAGCACAGGAAAAGTCAGAGATTGATGCGACTGTTTTCTTGCAGACAACACCTTGAGGCCAGTCTCAAAAATATCCTGTTACATAAAGTCTGACTTTAATAACATCTCAAACTCACATATATGGACTAATAAAACACCAAACAGTGCATTGAAACGTTTCACTCGAATCAAGTGAGATGTGTAAGCACAGGATACAATTACTTTACTACAGTTTGCAAGGTTCCAAAAAAAGATCACTGTCTGATGAAAACAAACAAACAAACCAAACAAACAAAGTCTTCAAGTAGGCCTGGAAATTAAACATTTTCAGTCAGACCCTGTAAATCAACCATGTAGTTGACTATACAGTTTTGTTAAGGTTATACTGCTATCAGTTGTAACATTAGCTACAGGTAAAAATTTAAGCTAAAATTTATGTACTTTCAATGAGATGAATTCAGAAAATCTAATTTTCTTTAAGAAATAAACAGAAATTAGAGCAGGCAAACATAATAACAGTTTAGAGTGCATCTACTATCCATTTCCTTATTTCCTGTCATGTATAGTTGCAGTGGTAGATGTTCATATCAAACATGGCCAACGTTTCAAATAAAGTCATCTACAGTACTGTGCACCAGTCTTAAGCCAATCATTTCTTTACATTTTGCTAGAAAATGGGAAATGGGCACATTTGCAGTAAATGATCAAGTGCAAAAATAAAGGAAAAACAGATGCCTGCCATTTGTTCTGTTCTGTCAGGATGATCCCACAATGCTTCAATAATGCTGAGGTCCAGTTCTCTGGGGAGGTCAATCCATGACTGATGGTGTTCAGCTGTGCATTTTTCCACTCAGGTGATGCTTTTACTGCATTGGCAGTGTTTGGGATCACTGCCATGCTGAAAAATGAAGCTGTTACCAATCAGAAGCTTTTAAGATGGTATTGCAACAGGCCCATAAGACTGCTGCCACTAATTTTCAGTCCAGTTCTTATGCAATTTGGCATACTTCAACCTTTTCTCCCCTTAAGCCTTTCTATAAAGAAATAAAGGATGGCTCAAGAATTTTGAACACACATGATCCCTGTGAACCAAAAGCTCAGGCTCATGAATATCCTGATACAGTCTCCTCAAGCAACAATCATTGTATTGTGTCTGCTTAGGTAGGTACACAAAGTCAAATATGTATCTGCACTTTTAATGGTCACTAGGATATAAAAACCATTCACTTGTACTAACCAATTACCATATTAGCCACAATAGCATGTAGACATACCATCCATACAGTGGAAACTGTCATGAACATCTTCTGTTGCATATGCATAAGCGCAACAAATGATTGGCTCATCCGTTTCCTGTTTTGGCTATTGGTTGGCTCTTTAGAGACAGTGGCCACCATCTTCTATAGCTTTCCATTTAAATTATTCTTTAACAGCATCACTTTTCTTGTAATACCATGGATTTAACTTTGTTATTATAACTGAATTTTTCAGTAAACTGTGGGATTCATATTGTAAAGATATGTAGGACACAGCAGGACATAGCAGTCAGAAGATGAATGCATTCATTTTAAAAATCACAAACCAGTGCAATAAATTTGTAGGTCACTTGTTTTAACACTGCACTGCTCCACAGGATCACATTTTTCCATTTCCTTAGGTCAAACCATGCATAATAATATAGTACAGTCACTGTGAGTCGCTTCCACTGCTCTCTGTGTTGCATTAATTAAAAAACACAGTAGTTTTGACAGGAGCTGAATGAAGAATAAATCTAAACCAAAACCACAGTGTGAAACCTTCAGTTGCTGCCCCGCAGAAACAGGGCCTCTGTCATTTTGTGCAGTGTTTACCCAAAGTACTGTAATCTTACAGCACAGCAAGGTCATGCAGGTTTGCTTGAGAGACAGTGTGGAGATTACGTAGAAACAGTCACAGTTCAGGAAGGTAAATTCAACTCTGGGCAAAAAAATAACTCAACACTGTTAATGTGTCACTACTCCCTGCAGAAATGTAGAACGCAGCAGCTCCTTTAACAAAAAACTCACGGGTCGCATGAATTCTCATGACAAAAACACATTTTAAAAATCAATAATTGGTTGTTTTTCTATAGGAGACAAGAACAAGCTGGACTTCAATACATTTCCTCTTATAAAAAGGATTGCAGCACACACTTCAGCTGAACATACTTATAACTCCAACTCAAATTTGCTTGGTTACTGAGCTGCATGTAAAATTCTGCTCAGAAGAATGAAGATGCAGAAACTATTGTACATCGATTTTATCAGTTAGGTGCAACTCAAAGTAACAACAGGTGCACTGAAGAAGCCACAAAACAACCATGAACAAGGGAATGGTTTAGCCACAGACCACTGCTGTCTTACAACAAAAATAAAAGCCAACAGTTTTATCTTCACTATTTTTAGGCAACTTTCTTCTGGATGGCAGTACCTCACAAACTAATGAGATGACAAAACACGACCAGAAATCTGCAGTGAATAAATAGATGGGTTGAGAAAAGCACTTTCATTAACCTCAGTTTGTACATAAGGCCAAAACTGCAGGTCAGAAAAATAATTAAAAGCACTTTAAAAGGTTAAGGCAGTGATTTAAAAGGATTTTTGTACATTTAGGACCAGCAGAGCAGGTTCTCTGCAGAGATTAGAGCAAACAGCTTCCACAGAGCCACATCGTCAATCACAGTAAACACCCAGTACTTTGTGTTGAGTTGGGCGTTTTCATATCTGCCTGCTGATCACATGACACCCAGCAAGAAGAAATGGAAAAACTGCAATCCTCCTAAATATGTCATAACATTAGATATTTTAGTCTTTCATACAGTATTCCATGTTTCCTCTTATCTTGTTAAAATCTCCTAGTCATATTTTTAACTGGATACCAGCAAATAAGCATTGTAACACTTGTACGCTGGGCACTGGCACTTCCAGAGGACTCTTGTCCTGAAGGGATGATGATTCTTCTTCACTGTGTTGTTCCAACAATTTGTTCCTGCTGCATTCATTCAGTCACAGTGCTGTCACATTTCTGTGCATAACAGCTGGCAGCAGTTCTAGTATTCAGATACCATCTTCACATCAGCACTGCTCATGCTAATGATTGGGGCGACCGTGGCTCAGGGGGTTGGGAATCGCATCTGTAACCGGAAGGTCGCCGGTTCGATCCCCGGGCTCTCTGTCCTGGTCGTTGTGTCCTTGGGCAAGACACTTTACCCTACTTGCCTACTGGTGTTGGCCAGAGGGGCCGATGGCGCGATATGGCAGCCTCGCTTCTGTCAGTCTGCCCCAGGGCAGCTGTGGCTACAACTGTAGCTGCCTCCACCAGTGTGTGAATGTGAGAGTGAATGAATAGTGGATTGTAAAGCGCTTTGGGTGCCTTGAAAAGCGCTATATAAATCCAATCCATTATTATTATTATTAGCCTTTTGCCTCTCTCTTTACCCATACATAACAGAAATATGGGTTTTTGTGATAGTTTGTAGGTTTGGATTAATGGCTTGTGTACAGTGAAGACAATGAGGTTTCTTAGATACAACAGAACGTTATAATCCATCTTCTTCATTTTGACCATTTGAAACCCTGATCCAGGTACCAAAAATGTTTAAAAAAAAACAAAACAAAAAACAAACAAACACGTAAATAAGCCAAGATAACTGTCCTTTAAAGAAACTACACCTTCAGGTCATTAAACTGCACTGCTTG